TTAGAGGCAGTGCAACTGGCACAGGATAGAGCAAGGTTTAGGGCTGTTGTACATAGGGTCGCTATGAGTCGCAAGCGACTTGATGGCACATAACAACAACAACAAGAACAACAATCTTCCATAGGGTTTGTGAGGGCCTATTATTTGAGATGTGGTTGGCCAGTCCTGCTTCTTAGTCTGGAAGTTCTGCTGAAACCTTTCCACCATTAGTGGCCGTCCTGGTATTTCCTGTACAGGTGGCATAGCTTCCAACAATGCAGTTATACACGTGGATGGCTACCACAGTGAGACAAACTATTATAACAAATAATGAATACACCTGTCTTGAACAAAGAGACCTGATTAACTTTCTTAACCTGAACATCAATAAAATTTATACTTTAAAAAAATTTTATGTTGGTTTTATGGGTCTGTGGGCTGGCCTAGGGCCTGGAGCCTTGGAGTCTCCCTCCATTTAGGAGTTGACTTCTTGCTTGCATCTCGATGGCAGTCTCATCTTGATGGTGGTCATGTAAGGGAAATTTCTGGGGTTGTGTTTTTTGTGTGATACTGTTCTTCCCCCAAAACAAAACAAAACAAAACAAGGACGGTCCTTGAGCCTTTGACCAAAGGTGGAGGCCTGCTAGAGGGTGTGGCTGTAAAATCCATAATGAGGCAATGGGCCTGTGGGCCCTTGGACCTACGAACCTCAGGCCAAATTTATTAATTTTAGAATGAATATTCCTTAAAAGACACAGCAATCATTTGTCTATTTGCTGTACTGAACAAGTTGGAGTTGTGATGCTAAACACTGTTCCACAGTCATGTGAAACACCATAATGGTATATCCATACCAATGGATGAGCTTCTAGATTGATTTCATGCTGGGAAGCAGAAGTGGCATCCACTTCCTAAACTAGATGCCTGTGGAAACTCTACAAACTCTCTAAACTCTAGAAATGTACAGTAATTATGTTAGTTATAGAACAGAGTTCAGGTCTTTTGTGTAAAGCTTACTCTGAGTCGTATTCAGCTTGATGATATTTAACCACTGTTAAATGAGACTAGTGCTGTTATATCTGGAGGATCACTCTTCCACTTTGCACATCACTCTTTGTCAATGTGCTATTTGAAGCAACCTGGGTTTGCTGTGATGCTGAACCTTGTGCCATTGGGGTATCAAACATCATAATGATTTCCCATTGTGGACAGTGTTTGGTAGCACTCCCAGTTGTAAAACAGGTTTGGAAGCATGAGTGGCATCCACTTCCTAAACCACATGCCTCTGGCAAGTCTACAAACTTGGGAAAATGATGATAATTATGGAAAGGCACGGGGTCTTTTGTTCACAGAGTCGTTATGAGTCATGCTCGACTGGACGGCAATCAACAACAACAACAACATACTGGTTTGCTTGCAAAATTTGTATATATAATTTTTAAATATCTATTAATCTCACAGGGATCTCTGGTGACTTAATTTATAAGGAATTTCTAAGCCAACCAAATGCCTGTGCCTCTCTAGAATGTAGAAATATCTCCACAAAGAAAGATGAGAAGTCTCATCCTGTGTTACTTACAGGCTCAGAAATGCACCAGAGGGTCAGCTGTGAGTTGTTTCTGATTTGATACCAATTAGAAAAAGACAGAAAGAGAGATAAATATTAACATCACATTGAAATATCAATTGTTGCATCATAGAATCGTAGTTGGAAACTGATTAGAAAAAGCAAAGGAGGGGTATTATTGGTTCTACATTTTAATAAAGAAAACTCATGTGAGATTTGTGGGAAAATTTTTGGATGCTTTCTTATAAAACAAAGAACTATCAAGTTATTTGTTTAATTTCTTAGAAGCTGGGCCTATGAGTAGTGAATGTGGTCAATTAAATTTGGAGAAGGAAGGAAAAGAAGAAAATGAGAAGAGTACAGAGACATAGCAGTGACAATTATTAGGTGCTGGTGGTGGGGAACCAGCATGGGGTACCCCAATGGTAAATGGGGTATAAGGGATGTGGTAGGCCTAAAATATATGTTCTATCCCTCCACAATATCCAACTCTTATCTCCATTGATATCACCTTATTGGGAAGAAGAATATCTGCAGATGGAAATAAATATGGATTTTATGGTGAGGTCATCCGTTTCAATGGGGGGGGGTTATTGTATAACAATGAAAGAATTTTTTTTTCTTCAAAGAGAAAAATGAACTGAGTGGTAGGGGTGGGTAGGGAGGAAAATGTGCAACAATAAATGAATGGGGAAAAATTAAATGGAAAGAATATGCTGTAAAAATATATATGTTGTTAAGTGTCGTTGAGTCGCAGGCGACTCATAGCGACCCTATGAAGGAGAGGCCTCGACGCTTGGGTGCCTTTCATCCTCTCTCCAGGTTCATAGGGTTTCCAGAGGCAAGCTATTAAGGAAGTGGATGCCACTCCTCCTTCCAAGCTAAAAATATATATGTTGCATTAAAAATTATTAATAATAGAAGACATTTAATTAAAGAAAAAGGAAAAAAAAGGATGAGGTCATCCAGGATTATCTAGTTGGACCTTATATTCAATGAGAAATGTACTTACAAGAGATGGAGTAAGAGACACAGAGACAGAGATTGGAGTGAAGTTGTAAGAAGACAAAAAATACTGACAGCTACCAGCAGTTGCCTCGAGCAAAGAATTGAATCTGTTTCAGAGCCTTTAGAGAGAGTGCTTCCCTGTGGATGCCTTGATTTGGCACTCTGGTCACCATAGCTGTTAGAGAATAAATTTCAAGTTGCTCAGTTGTGGCAATTTATTAGGACAGCCACAGGGATCTTGCACTGAAGAAAGGAGCACAAACTTGGAACACTGCCCAGAGCCTGGCCAGTTTACCTCAGCAAAGGTACGGTAGCAATGTGAGGTCTGAATGTGGCAAATGTTGAGAAGGCATTCATCATGGACAGAGGTAGGAGCACCCGTCAGGTTACTTCCCAGACCTCAGCAGCAGCCCTGCCATGATGAATACATGATGGATATGAACTGTGTCTGTCTTCCCACAGGGCACAAAGGCAGAGTGTTGCATCTGGTTTTGGATATGGACTACATCTGGCTGCTTTACAAACATATGGATGGGACAGATTCTGTGTTGAAGTACTGCCAGTTACAACCCCTCCTTTTCTTCTGCATGGGCTTGTTCTGAGTAGCAATGAAAATGAAGACCCTTTCTTGATATGAACGTCTATTTTCCTGACCTTTTTCAGGTTTTTCTTGCTTCTCTGGCTTCATTGGTTAGCAACACAGACTTCCACTCCTCCCCAAGAATGACTTGTGTGCAGCTATTGCTGAATGATCAGTCTACCAGCAGCAGAGACCAAGATTGAATCCCCTATATGGAACCTCCTCTTGGGTGATCAACCAGCAATTGGTCGTGGGTCGATTACCTTGACTCCTTCCAACACGGAAAGGACATCATCTTATTGTTACTGGTATAGACACTTATTCTAGATACTGGTTTACCTTTTCTGCATTCAATACTTCCATCAAGACTCCATCTATGAACTTGCAGAATGCTTTATCAACTATCATGGTATCCCAAACAGCATCGCTTTGGAACAAAGTACTCACTTCACAGCAAAAGTACTAACTTCACAACAAATGAAGTATGACAGTGGACCCATATTTATAGAATTCACTGATAATACCATTTCTCCCATCATACTGAAGCAGATGGTTTGATAGAATGATGGAATAGTCTTCTAAAGGCACAAATAGAGTGGCTGTTAAATGGCAACACTTTGGGGTTAAGCGGTATTCTCTAGGTGACTGCATATGCTAATATACGGAGCTATTTCTCCAATAGCTAGGATTTACCTGTCCAGAAACCAAGTGAAAACAGGAGTGATGCTATTAGTACTCCTAGTGAGACACTTGTAACATTTTTGGTTTTTTACCCGTAATCCTATATTACCTGAGGTTCTGGAAGTCTTAGTTCCAAAGGAAGAAATACTCTCAACTGTGTACGCCAGGGATGTGTCCTATCTCCACACCTTTTGAAGCTTTATGCAGAACACATTATCTGGGAGGCTGGGCTGTATGAGGACAAGTGAGACATCAGGATTGGTGGAAGATCTATCAACATTCTGTGTTATGCAGATGACACAACCCTGCTTGCTGAAACTGAGGAGGACCTGAAGCACCTGCTGCAGAGGGTCAAGGACTGCAGCCTCCAATATAGATTGAGGCTCAATATCAGGAAGACAAAGATTCTCACCACTGGGTCAGTTGGCATAATCAGGATGGATGGTGAAGAGATTGAGATTGTTCACAGCTTTAGTTTGCTTGGCTCCACAGTCAACACTCTTGGCACTAGCAGGCAGAAAATTTAAAAAACCCTAAAAAAACAACAAACCTGTATTGTGATGGGAAAGTCTGCTGTTCGGGACCTCTTCAAAGTACTGAAGAGCAATGGTATCACTCTGGAGACTAAGGTGTGCCTGATACAGGCCATGGTCTTTGCAGTCACTTTCCAATCACTTTGCAATCACATCAGAGAGCTGGACAATGACTAGGGAGGATAGAAGGAGAATTGATGTCTTTGAGCTGTGGTGCTGGAGAAGAGTATTGAATGTACTATGGACTGCTAAGAGAACGAACAGGTTCAACCTTGAGAGGGTTAAACCGGGCTTCTCTTTGGAGGCAAGGGTTCTGAGGCTTTGTCTGACGTACTTTGGACATGTTGTAAGGAGGGACCGATCCTTGGAGAAGGACGTCATCCTTGGGAGGGTGGAGGGACAGCGCAGGAGGGGAAGACCCTCTATGAGGTGGATTGATTCAGTGACTGGGGTAATTGGGATGGGTGTGTCAGAGACAGTGAGATTGGCACAGGACAGAGCAGAGTTTAAGGCTGTTGTACATAGAGTTGCTATGTGACTTGATGGCGCATAACAACAAAGGAGTTTTATTATTAAAATTTTAATTTAATAATTAAAAATAGATTTTATTTATGATCAAAGTTAGGAATGAGAAAAAATTAAATGCGGTTATCTAAATTGCTCCCTTTGTTGTCTTCATTATCCATGTGAGGTATTTCTTTGAGAGACGAGTATAGATTCCAGGTGCTCGAGGGTCTCCACATTTCCCTGGTTGTCCAAAAGAAGTGATGCCTCTTAAAACTCCACCGCATATCAAAGGGCCTCCAGAATCTCCCTGGAGGAAAACAAAAAGACAGTGGGGATCAGTGCTGCACATGACCATTAATGAAACAGACTCAATTCTACATCATTAATACCGAGTTGAGACTTACTGACTTAAGATAAGTGTTTACAAAACCAAATTTTTTTGAAAGATGTCATTATTTTTAATTGGCTTAATTTATTTCTGAAGCAGTATAAGTAGAAATGGAACTTGCATTATGGTTTCTATTACCAGTTAATATAGAGACAGATCACTTTAATTCTTTACTTTTGAAAAAGAATCCCTTCTATTGACTTGTCATTTTTTCAAAATGCTTAACAACTCATGCTTATAACTATTTAATAAAATAGTAAAATTCAGATGAAAAGAGTGAAAGAAAATATGAGAGAGTGAGGTAACGGGGGAAAACCTATGTAAATGTTGAAAGAAAGAGTGTAAATTGTGTAAACATTAAAGGAAAGATTTAAAATTGTGTAAAAGTTTTCTGATTCCTGTGTGAGATAATTATCTTCCATTTTCTCTCTCACACAAAGAAATCCAAGCAACTTTTTTTGCTTTTCCACTCATGTTTGTGATAGATGTTTCTTTGTAGGTCTCCTTTGACCATTTGATGTTAGAAGAAAACTCCAGGAATCAGGATGATACTTGGACTTTGAGTGACTCCATAGTCAAAGGCATCTTTAGGAGACTGCTTTTCAGTCTTGACTGTGCCAACATTTGTGGGATGATTAGCTCTCTCCTGGGACCCACAGAGTCAGCTATGAGTTGCTTCCAACTTGGTGGCATTGAATTTTGGCTTTATCAGTGTTAGATTTACCAGGAGAGTAAGCATATTTAAACACAGTGGAAATCTGGTGTTTAGGGACCACTGACTGTGACATATTCTGGAGTGTTATACTGTTACCTGAAGGAGACAGTTTGACTCTACCAGGGGCTCTTGTGGATTCTCCTCCTGTGTGGCTCACAGACTCTGAAAACCCTCTGTAGGTCCAGCTATGAGTCAGTTCCAACTTAGCAGCAATGAGTGAGTGAGTGGTGTTAGAAAGAGGCCTGGTAGCCTAGTGGGTAGAGAACTGTGCTGCTAACTTATTAGGAAGCACTTCACTGCCAGTTCAAACCCACCAGCAGCTTTTAGGGAAAAAGAGAATTTATCAGAGTTAGATCCACCAGCAGGGGGAGGAGCATGCATATGTTTTTGTTCTGTGGTGTCAGAACGGACCTATACATGACTCTTCAGTGGGTTTCCAGGGAGAGCAGATTGTCCATCCTTCCACTATGGAGCTGCCTTAACTGCACGCTTTTGGGGTTGAAGCACAATTTCTTACCACAGAGCCACTACAGCTCCCTAATATATGTAGAGCATATAGGGCTCTGCAAACACATTAGTCCGAGGGACCAAGTCCAAAGTTACTGGTGGGAAACTACCAGTGATTCCTTTAATTAAGAAGTTAGCCTTATGAGAGCATAATGTAAAGTATCATGTAAAAAAAAAAATCTGTGATTCTCCCCGGACATGTATATTTTTCTGCCTGTTATCGTGTCTGTGATTCTCGGTGCTTGATGTTTGGTTGACTCATCAATGATAAATTCCAAGGAGTTTTGGGTGCTGAGAGAATTATTATTTAATGTGATTGTAGTGGGCTGGCTGCTGAGGGGGAGACTTGTATCTAAGAACATGATACTTTGGGGCTCCTGGGTGCCCACAATGACAGAGGAAAGGGAGGGATGGTAGAAGGAGGGCAAAAAAGAAGGGACCACAAGAGTGCTAAATTCAAACACTCTATTTTCTTGATATTTGCTAAGCTGGGGCCCAAAGAACCTCAATCTTTGATAACTTCCAAGCCATTAACACTGAATACGCTTTCCCTTTAGATTATTTACTACAGGGTCCTTAGGGGAGGTTTAAAAGGAATTGTTGGTATTTGTAACTTAAAACACTGCAAAGTGTTTTTTCTGCTGTTTAGGAAGCTCCATGACCCCCTGTCCTTGGAGGACTGGTATGGGGGCTCGTGCTGTTGGTGGACTGGGTTACATCAGAAATTGTGTGGCTTTAGCAATCTGTGGAGTCCAGCTCCATAGTCTGGCACTTTTCCTTCTGGAAATGAAAACTTTTTAAAACTTGTTGTGATTAATCAAAAGAGTGAGAAGTGGGGAGCATCTGGGCTGTGAATGTGTGCTGAGTGGTACCTATTTTCAAGTTTAGTTCTACCCGTGTTAGCATGAAAATGCATAGGAGAAACGATGCTTCTCAGTGGATTTTCATGTAAAAGCTAGAAGATACAATGTGATTTAATTCACATATTAACAATAAATTTCTTATTTTAGTTGAGCAATCTACTTTTGTTCAGATGAGGACATTAATTTATTTGATGAGGATTTAATATTTTTTTCAAAAAGCAGTAGGATGCTGTTACTGTAGAAATAATTAGTTAGACATGTACGAGGATTTAACGGGAGGGTAGAGGCAGAAGGGTGAGGGGGAAGTTAAACATAGGGCAGCATAATTTGATGGGTAGATTAAGGAAATAGGAAAGATCTAGTGTGAAAACCAGTGTATATGAACTTTGTAGGTAAATCAGAATAAAAGAAAATTTTTATATATAAAAAAGCACTTTGTTGTTGTTAAGTGTCATCGAGTTGTAGATGACTTATAGCGACTCTATGAACAAAAGGTGTACACTTGTATAACTTTCATTGTTTCTCCAGTTCATAGAGTTTCTGGAGACAAGCTATTTCGGAAGTGGATGCCACTCTTGCTTCCAAGCGTGTTTTAATCGGGGAGCTCCACCAAACACTGTCCACCATGGGTAACCATTATCACATTTGACATATCGGTGTCACAGTGTTTACCATCACAACAGCCACGAGTTACTTCTGTACAGCAAACTGAAAAACCAGTGCTATACCACTGAGAAGAATGTTTGACCAAAACCAGTTAAAACCAGGCCTGAGGCTGGAGATTAAAATCACCTACATTTGGCTTAGTAGTATAACTTGGCTTAGTGCATAACTTTCTATCAACTAGGCCAACAGAGCTCTCTCTCTATGACTCACAGCAGTTCTATGAGCAACAGATCTAACCCTTGCCCCAATCTATGCCATCCTCATAATCCAAGACACCCAAGCCTCAATCAAAACAGAAAAGACATCTTTGTAGAATCCAGCTGCTCCACTCATCTTCCTGTACTGGAAAGTGGAGGGAAAAAACACGCCTCCTGCTCCTACCCGCAAAAAAGAGCCCTAGAATCCTATATAAACTCAAACCACCACTAGACGGAACATTCCATTCATTATTCTTTGTATGTGTGTGTGACTGGATCTGGCAGGTGGGACATTATATCTTAGTTCACTTACATCACATGAATCTCTCCCTCCTTTGGGGTTTCCAGCACAGATCATATTGAGTCCGATCACAGGATTATAAGCATAGTGCTTTTCATCATTGCAGGTTTTTCTGTCTATGACAGTGATGTTGACTTCTCGCAGGGTCTCTGAGTGATTAGGTGATTTGTTATTAGTCTTCCCCCACCCTGCAACTTTACACACTGTTCCTGGTTTTACATCCTCTGCATTTTTAGGTAGTTCAAGGATAATGACATTTTTATTAAGAGTGGCTTTTTTGGTCAACTGTAGAGAGACACACATAAAGAAGAAAAGAAGAACATTAAAATACCCACGTTTCTGCTTATATCTAGTCCCACCCTTGGGGATCCACTTAGTTCAGCCTGCAGCTATTGGGGTACTGAGGAGAGGTTCTCATTTATCTGGTGAGACTGTAGGAACTACTACAGTTTTTTAGAAGTTCAGCATACTTACCTTTAGGAGTTTCAGATCACCCTCATGTGTGTCTGGATCATAGCATGGGTAGGGAATTTCCTTCTTAATTGACATTATTTGTTGTTCTGGCTCTGTTTCGGTTGTGTGAGCTCCAAGAATAACCTTGCCTTCTTTGCCCCTGAAATAGACAGCACCACTTAACCAAAAATGGTGAGCAATTTTACTAATCAACCCCACAGTTTAATTCGTAAATACTCTTGCTATGAAGATACTTTTCTATCTTTCATTCAAACCAAATGAAAGCAACCAAACTCCAAAATTCCCAACAAACATTAAAGAATAATAAAGTAAGATATTTATAAATCTCATCATTATTAGCAATGGTTTATTAACAACCAAGTGTGTTTTAAAGAATAAAAAAGTCAAATGCTTACTAATTTCACCATCATTTTCGTTAGCTTATTCATAACAAGGCAAAGAAAGTTCACGGAAACATAACAAATAGCATTCTGTTGCAGTTAAGTCTGATCTTGGAATCTCTGTTGGGTCTTTAGGGTTGTTTCTTTTTAGCCATCATGCTAGGGAATGCTTTTGCCAATTACTGAAAAACCAAGTTATCTGTGGTCCAGATATGGTAGAAAATGACAGCTGGGAAAGATGAGTAAGGGATTGAAGAGGACTATATAAGGGACCCTAAACTTAACTTCAATTAGTAAAATTTTTAGGAGGCTTTGTCTTTTGAGGACTGTGTTTGATTGTGCTGAGGGGCAAAACCTGGGCTCCATGTTGAGTTAATGTAGGAAGTCCCTGAACGGCAGGCACAATTGGTGCGCAATTGCTAACTTAAAAGTTGGGAGTTAAAAAAAAAAAGTTGGGAGTTCAAATCCACACAGTGGCACCATGAAAGAAAATCTGAGTAGTCTACTTACATGAGAATTATAGTCAAGAAAACCTATGGTGCCATTCAACTTTTAATAAATGAAGTCCTGAGTTGGAATTGACTTGATGGGAATGAGTTTTAGGTTTAGTTTAGTTTAGGTAGGTCAAAGTCAGTAAAATTAAAGCATTTTGAAAAGCTATATATGTCTCATATATTAAAAAAGTGCCTCTTTTGTTAATGCATCTTTTTGTTACTATGGCTGTAAATATTTTATAAAACCAAAGCACTTACATGTTACAATGAGCTGCAGTCAGTACCCAGTTTTTTGCAATCAAAGCCCCAGCGCAGATTCCTTTTCCTCTAAGTAGGACCATGTATGGTCTTGAGTGTGGAACCACTTCATAGCCTCCAATTATTGTTGCACAAAAATCTATTAAATAGAAAAAAAACACTCACTCAGAGAGTTCTTCATAATATCATGACTAAGAAGAGTCAAACTTTGTCCGGGAGAAGAAGAAGCATCGGAGAGAGCATTTTTCCCCTTCTTTTTTAAATTTTTATAATTTTAAATTTTATTTTACACTGATTTATTTACAAAGTTTGATTCTTTGTTTTCACACACGATCTTCCCATTTCCATCTCCCACACCCCCCCCCCCCGCCCCCATCAAATTACGCAACGCTACAAATTGCTTTATGTTGTCTTTGGATGCTTGAATGAACATCCTATTCTTGTTGGACTTTCTGAGAGTCTTGATTTTCCACCCACAGAAGCCAAGTTGTTGGCCATAGTTCTCAGATCTGGAAAATGACAGAGAACTGTGTCTTGGCCATTTGCCATAAGAGATGGAAAGTCTGAGAATTCTCAACCTTTGTTTCATGAGTATTAATCTGGTGAGCTGGGTGTTTTTAGAAACTTTCAAAAATTTTTTTCATCCCAACTTTTTGCAAAAACCATGTTATGAAATGATAATAGCACTTTTAGCAGTGAATTTAGCCATAAAGATTTTTATTTTTGTTGTTTTTGTCATTGTAGGATTTTTGATCTTTGAATTTGCACTGTCCTCACTCATGAATTGAGAAAATAACATTTGTTGCATCTGAGGCTATCCTTCAGTTCTCCAAAAGGAAACTCATAGTTGACTCTAAGGCCTTTCCAAGATGTAGGAATAAAATGGTATAGTGAAATAGTAAAAGAGTAAAATTTCTTCGTAAACCAAAAGTGTAGAACTTTAGGTACTTGTAGGACTCAAACACAAGGTGAAACACACATACAATAGCTGTGAGAACCGTATGCCTTTGTGATATTCTCTTAGATCTTTACTTTCCTCAACTGGATCTTCCTGATTTCTCCGAAAACATCTCTTCTAACTGTTGTCCATTCTTCACAATGTGGTGCATAATTTATGCAATCCACATTGTTGAATACCTTTGCATAGTCAAGAAAACACAGTATTTTGAGGATAGTGCACCATTAGTCAGGGTGTATTCTGCTGTCCATAGGGTTATTGTGGGTTGGAGCTGACTGATGAGATCAGACAACAATAACAGTTTTTGGCCGAGGCTCATAGTTCCTTGAATTGGCACGGTGTTTGCTATTCCATAGGGAAAGAGACTTCATTACCAAATTATGAGTATGGTTGAAGACTTGATCTTTAGAAGCCTTATCAGAAGATATTATCTTTCACTTAATATGGGCACATAATCAAGAATGGTAAGTCCTTATACAGTGATTGGAAAAGTAGGGAATCAGGGAAAGAGAGGAAGATCTGTGATGAGATAGATTAATCCAGTGACTACAACAATGAACTCTGGCAGAGCAGAGATTGTGAGAACAACACATGACTGGACAGGGTTTCATTCTTTTGGGTCGATATGAGTTAGAGTTGACTTGACAACACCTAAAACAACAACAATAACACACACACACACACACACACTCTGGTTGCCAAGAAGCTGCACTACAATCCCAAAGTCATGTGGTTTGAATCCACTAGTCACTCCTCCTGTGCCATTAACTGCCTCTAAACCCGCCTGAGGGTCAAATATGGGTCGGTTCTGACTCTATGGTACACAACAACAACAACAACAACAACAACAACAGCAACTGCACACACGCGAGCGCACACATACTCATTTGATGAGAGTGAGAGTTATGGAGAGGAGAGAGCCACACAAAGTCTCATTTCCAGAAGGAAGTTTTGAAGGAAAATTCATGTTGAGAAGGCAAAACTCCAGACAAAATTCTAGAGATGAAACATCAAAGAAAACTGGAGAATATTACATGTATATTTTTTTAGGATTTTTGTTAGGGTGAATCATTTACAGATAGATCCAAAAGATACACCTTTGAAGCTTTTATGCTGAAACTATAAAGTCAGTATTCAATTGAGTGTATGTCTTGCAGATTTCATGCTTGCAGGCAGAAGTAATGTCTACCTTTCCTGCACACAAATATTCCTAGAAGAGTCAGGGGCAGGATTTAGAGCAGGAAAGCTTTCAAAGCAATTGAGGAATTATGGTACATTCATACAATGAGATACTATGCGGCCCTCAGGAGCAACAATTTTATGAAATACTATATAACATAGGAGAAGCTAGAGAGTATTATGCTGAATGAACTAACTCAGTATCATAAGGACAAATACTACATACGCTCATTACTGGAGAAGTACGAAGGGAGAAGGGGAGGAGGTCTGGGTGCTGGGTGGAGGGAATCATGGGCTCACAGGATTTGGTGAGCAAAGGGAGGGAGTGAAATAATTAGGATATATCCAGTGGGGACCTGAAAAGTTGGGGTGATAGTGGGCATAGATCAAGGGTGATTAATTTTAGAAAACACAGTGTAAATAGAAGGATAAAAAGTAAAACATGTATGGGTACCCAAAGGTGATGGGGAGGGGTGAGGATAGGTAGGAATGAAACCACAGGGTTTAATATTTTGGTTACTAGAGGGAGGTAGGGGAAGGAAATGGGAAGGATCTTGTGGGGATCCGAAAAGACAAGGTAATGATGGGCAATGTCTAATACTGATTAATTTTATAAAACATAATGCATGGGAATGATTGCATGAAACACAAGGTGAATGAAAAATAATATGAAACACAATGTATAAAACTTAGTAAGCAAACCAATATAAAATTAAACAAAGAAAAAGCAGAGCCTTACCTCCACAGTATATGGGAATGATCATAGGAAACACAATTTGAATGAAGGATTGTTTGAAACAAATGTACATAAATGAAATGCAGTGTATAATAATTTTGTATGCAAACCAAGATAACTTTAAAGAAAACCCAAAATAAAAGTCTAGGTTTTAGGAAGAATAAAGAAATCTGGTGGCATAGTCTGTAGAGATTTGCTCTGCTGAGTCAAAGGCCAAGCCTCTCTGTCAGGTCTAATCTACCAGCAGGTCAGTGGGAGTAAGAGGGGTATCTTTGCCCTGAGAATTACAGCCTCTAAAAATCTGCCAGAGGGTCAACTATGAGTTGGTTCCAACTTTATGGCAATGAGATTTTATTCAGTTGAATAGGATGATACTATGACACAATCATAATATGCTGTGAAGTCAGAAATCCTGATAATTGGCTTTTCTATACATTGCATTAACCCCTCTTGGGGGCATGGTGTCCAGTTACCTTAACTGTGAACACATAGTTATCTTGCAAATTGTAAACAGCTATGGGACCAATATAAGAGAATGCTTTTCACACTCTGAACAAATGGTGGTGAAGAGAAGGTGAAGAGACTGTGACACTGCTGTAAAGTGACTGTGGCAAGGAAAAACCAGAGGAAACCTGGAGATGGAGCCACAGTTAAAAGTATTGCTTGCTGGGTGTTTGAAGGAAAAGCTGACTTACTTGCTGGATGATTGAAGAAGTCAGATTTATTTGTGTGGCTGAACTGAACCTAGACTTTCACATGGTGACTGAGAGAGAAGCTGTCTGAACCACTTAAGAAATTGTGTTTTCTGGTTAAACTGGCTTGGAACTGCTAGACGAAACTTGGACATTGTGTGATATTCTTTGCCTCCTCCACTCCCCAACCTATTTCCCAAATAAACCTCACAACTCTGAGCAAAGTCTGTGAGTTAAGTTGCAACGAATATAGGAACCAATGATTCAGAGAAATAGGTGCGGAAGCAAGTGAGGTGGCATGTCTGATCATCTAGCTATTTGTTTGGTACTGTGGAGCTTATGGATGGCTATAGTTACCTTTTATGAGAAGTGGGTGAGAGTTCGACTCGGTCTTTCCCATGTTGCCACTGCGCTATATATATATATATTTTTTTTTCATCCCTTTGTCACAAATATTTGCCTTGTTATCTTAAAGTTTCTTTCTTCTTTTTCTCATTTGCTGAGCTTTCTCAGTAATTTCCGACAAGACAGCATGTGATGCCAGTCTCTGCTACCCTTATCTCCCAAAGCTGACAGAATTTGGAGGAAAACCATGGCTGGCTCCACATGGCTCACCCCAATCTCAGAATGATCTTCATTTTCTAAAAGGTTCTACAAATGAAAGCTAGAGCTATCCAGGGGCTCCTACCCTTTCAGAGTTAATACCCTAATTTTTAAGTGTTTCAAGCCAATGCATGTGGAGTTTATGAAGACTAGGGATATTAGTACGTATTTAATTTAGTACACTAAAGATGTAGCTTAATAAAGAAATATTGTGGAGCTACCAAAGAGTTGTTATGAGGATATTTTCAGTGTTATGAGATAGTCCCATGTAGTATCTATTTTAGAGAGAGCATTATACAATTTGGACTTTCCTGTTTTTATTTTCTTTTTTCTTAGGTCATGTTTTCCTTAGCTGTTTAAAAAAATATGTGTATGCATGAAACCTAATCATATATTCCTTTTAAACAGTTCTTTCCTTTATCTGTTTCAACACAATGATATACGTACAACAACCACAGCCCAGAATAAGAGGTATATCATTGCAAAGAGGACTGAGGGTGAGGGGGCAAGGGAGGTAATTGTGCAACAATGAATGAATAAGTAAAAACAAGTAAACTGGGTGAGTGGGAAGGGAAGAGGAAGGAGATAAACATGTGAAAATGAATAAATGAAAATCTAACTTCTCTGTAAACTTTTGTTAAAATCACAATTAAGATGAGAGATGTGCAGGCAAAATACCCAGGAGTGGGAAGGTGAGTGGAACTAAACTCATGAACTTATACAGTTTGATAGAGGATATTTCTCTCTATATATTTGTAATATATTGATATATATTTATGAAAACATATCAGTATTCTCTAAAAAGATAACAAAAAGATAACCAAACACTTGGAAGTGATCAGGACTGTATCATTAGAGAAAGGGAAGACACAAAGAAGTACACGTGGGATACAGACAATAAAATAAGCCCTATTATCTACACAACCTTGAATATTCAGTAATAACAAACATAAACCTGTAAGTGAATATGTAGGCAGAGGGTACCAATAGGCATGGGCAGGTGAAAAGTGAGAGACTACACATGAGCATTTCTATGTTTGTTAGATGATAGTTCTGCATGCATATTTGTATATGCTGTGAATATATTCATATACAATATGTTAGAGGCAGCTGGGGAATAAGTTACACAAACATCTCAGTTATAATCAGATATCCTCAGGATATGAACTGCTGGTCCTTAGGCCTCAGGGCCATGCTGTTGTCAAGTGCCACCACCCCGACTATGACTCAAAACCACTCTGTGAAACAGATTGGGGACTATATTCTAGTAGACCTAATATTGCCAAACAGTCACTGAAAGTTTGCTCTATTTTGCTGAGTCGCTTTAACTGAAGTGACAAGAATCGGTCTTACCTTCAGGAATCAGCAGGAGAAGTGTGACAACTGCGAGAAAGGATGGCAGACAAGTACAGGAGGTCCTCATCATGGCAGGTGTCCCACATCAATCAAACAGAAAAATCTCTCTTGTTCTTCACAGCCTCTAACCTATATATTGAGTGTACAAAGGATGTGGCTTTTCTCTCCTTCCTTCTTTGCAATGTCAAAGTTTCGCTAGCTTTAGGAAAGAATATATGACTAAGTGAGAATAGTGAATTACCAGCAAGCAAGCTTGTGCTAGGTAGGAGGAAGAGAAGGAGTCTTTTAAGCCAGCAGATTAATGAGGAAGAAAACTTTGTTGCCTTCAGAACACGGCATAGGCAGTGCCCAGGTTATGAGTAAGATTTGTTTTAAGTGTGTCTGTGAATTGATATGTAGGCTTATCAAACCAGGTGCAAATCATTCTTACTTACTTTAGTGCAAGGGAAGACTTCAAGGCTTTTCAATAATTGCAAATTATTTCTTTCCTTCTTTCCAGAATCAATGGAGAGAGAAAATTGGGAGTCAGCCACAGTTCCTTTGCTCTGATACTGACGAATGTCTCCCTTGAAGCAGTATCAATCCCAGCTACTGAGGAGAAGAATAAATTTGCTTTCTCTCTCCCTTTTTATCCCCCCAATTATACTGGTTTATTTACAAACTTCAAATACATTGTTTTTCACATCAGAACATTTGTATTTCCCTCAACCCCCTCATCAAATTGTATGACCCCCTGCTTCCACCCTCTCCCCACACCTTGATTCTTGAACTCATTCTACAATAATTGTTTTATATGTGTTTGTCCTTGTGGAACTGAGTTAGTTCACTCAACATAAAGCTCTTCAGTTCCTATCAAGTTAGGTAATAATTTTATCCTGATTTACATACAATGTTCATATACATTGTTTTTCAAACTGGACCTTTCCCCTTTCATTTACCAATCCCTCCCTCTACCCATCAAATTGTGCGACCCTATGTTTGTTTGTTTTTAAATTTTTTTTTAATTTAGGTTGTTTATTTTTCATTTCAATGAACATCTACAGAGATTTTGGGATTCCATTCATTCATTGTTGCACCCTTCTCCCCACACAAACCCCTCTAAAAATTTTATTTCCGTTCATTCATTGTTGCTTCTCCCTGCCCAACCCTCCCCCACAGTTCACTCTTCTCTTTGAAAACTAAAAGAAATATTCTTTCATTTTTATTTCATTGTTATACAATCCACCCCTCCCCCCAACCCAGGTCCACTCTACTATGCAGCCTTCGTTCTGGACTCCTGTCATGACAATAATACCCAATCACATGCTTTCTCCAAAAAAGTCTTTACACAAAGTTTTTTAAAGCTGAGGATGCGTTTATTATAATGTTACTGATGTGTGTCATTGAGTCAACTATGATGCTAGTAACCCTGTGACCAGCCGACCGAAACTATGCCCTGGGGTGCACCATCCGTAAGTTCTTCAAGTTGAAGCCCATTGTTGCAGTCATTGTGTCAATACTGAGAGTGCTCCTCTCCTCCATTGACCAGGGTTTTTTCCCCGGGACTGTCCCTCCTGACAACATGCCCAAAGTATGCGAGATGAAGTTTCACCATCCTTACCTCTAACGAACACTCTTCTAACATCCTTTTTGGTGTTTCCTTACTTTCACATATTTTTAATGATCTTTTCCTTTTTCATTGATTATTTCCTTCCTCCTAGAACCCATCTCTTTGTTGTGTTACTGTTAATTAGTGTTGAATGCATCCGATCTAGATTTTTAAAAAATGTCTTTTTTTTTCTCAACACTTTATTTGAAGTCAAGCATTTCAAAAAAGTAGTACCATCAAAGGAAAAAAATGGCAGTTCTGCAATTCAGGGGACTCCTGTGTCCTACGATTACCTATCTTCTAGAACTTCATCCCTTCTCTTCATTTGCACTATTCTAAGTCAGTCCCTCTCTTACTGTCTGCTCTTCACAATAACCATCAGAGTTTCCTCATTTCTAATGCCTGAATAATAAGGCTAACTTTGCTGAGTTATTGCAAGTCTTTTTTTTTGTTGTTGTTGTTTTAAAGAAGAACTTTAAATTCAGGTGAGATAAACTGAGGATTGTATTTTGGCTCTCACAGGTTTCTTCCCATTTTCTTCAGCTTCAATTTGGTTTTGTCTAGAAATAATTGATGGCCTGTTCTACGTAAAGCTCTGGCCTTTAAAAAAAGTATATTTTGACAGCTGGTATTGACCTTATCAACAGTAGCTTTCGACAGAGGTCGGCAGTTTGATTTTTGTGTATTCCATCAGGCAAGATCCATGAGTACGGTCACCATTTGATTTTTAGAAAAAAAGATGTATATACTATGAATAAATCTTTGATTATATAACATTTTATGGTATAATCTCTACCTCATTTCTGTTACCAAGGTCATATTTCCAATTACATCACTTCTTAATCTCCAATTTTTTCATTCCAGTCACTCATTATTATTAATGCAACTTGATTGCATATTTGGTCAATTTCAGACTGCAAAAATCAATAGGAATATGCAATTTTTAAAAAATTTATTATTAATTTCAATGAAAATTTACAGAGACTTTGGATTTCCATTCATTCATTTTTGCACTTTTCTCCCATCCCAACCTTCCCCCCTAGTACACTACCTGCTTGGAAAAGTAAAAGAAAAATTCTTTCACTGTTTTACAATCCCTCCCCCCAGGTCCACTCCACTATGCAGCCTTTGCTTTGGACTCCTGTCATGACAAAAATACCTCTCCCTTAAGAAAAAAAATATCCCTTTTAAACAGTTTTCTCCCTCATCTGTTTCAATGCAGTATACATGATTGAGCCCATCTTTCTCAGTCTCCCCCCAACCCCGATGTCAGTCCCATTTTACAACAGTGGTACCATGCAGTTTTTGTTCTGTTGTGACTGAGATACTTCACTCAGCATAATGTCCTCCAGGGTCACCCATTTTGAATAATATTGCATGAGTTCCTTGTTTTTCAATGGAGCATAATACTCCATTTCTTCTCTATCCATTCATTTGTTGATGGGCACTTAGGTGGTTTCCAACTCCTTGCTATTGTGAACAAAGCCGTGATAAACATGGACGTGCATATATCTGCTTGGGTGGCAGTTATGGTCTCTTTGGGGTATATTCCGAGTAGTGGAATTGCTGGGACAAACCGCCTTCCACAGTGGCTGCACCATTTTACACTCCCACCAACAATGAATAAGGGTTCTAGTTTCTCCACAACCTCACCAGCATTTGTTGCTTGCGGAATACACAATTTTTAATGTTTCTGTGTGGGTTGTGTGTATATGGTTGTTTCAGAAACAAGTTTTCTTTGTATGCATATGTACATTATCCTGTCACTTACAGCATTGTGCTTAAAGGATAGATATTGAAATGTTCTTTTTGGTGATAAAGATAATAAACACTATTCATTTTTTCTTTTTTAAATAAAATTTTTATTTTAAACTGGTTTATTTACAAAGTTTGTATACATTGTTTTTCACACCGGATCTTTCCCATTTCCTTTTCCCCACCTTTCACTGCATAAATCAAATTGTGTGACCCTGTGATTAACAGCCCCCACACAACTCTACTCCTCTGCTCTCACCCTTCCCGCCTTGAATCCACATGCACATTCTAAAATAATGGTCTTATATAGTTTTTGTACTTGTGGGACTGAGTTAGTTCACTCAGCATAATGCTCTCCAGTCCCTCCCAAGTTAGGTAGCAATTTACAAAATCATTGCTCCTGTGTGTTGCATTGTATTCCATCATGTGACTGTACTATAATTTCTCAATCCATTAGATTTTGGGTGGATATTTCGGTTGTTTCCATGTTCTTGTGATGGTGAATAATGTTGCTATCAACATTGATGTACAAGTCTCTGAACAAACACTATTACACTATTATTCAATCTGTCTTTCCCAACTTAGAAGATCCGATGATTGCCTGATTCAGACTATCTGACACCAGACTCACTAGTCATCAGCTCACTGATGCCTAATACAGCAATCTTCATGTGCTCCACTTCTTTTTTTAAATCTTCAACTTTCTTAGGTTCATACTTCATATATTTAATGTTATAGTTATTAATGGATATGTGTAGTTGCTTCTCTTCATTTAGAGTCTTGCCATATCAGCAAATAAAGGTCCTTCTCTGGGTAAAAACTAAGTTATTAAGGTAGACTCTACTTTGAGGAAGCAGGTCTTGTCTTGCTCTTCTCTCTTGTAGCCCTTCTCATTTTGTAAGCTTTGCAAACTTAGTGGCTCATGTTCTGACACTATATTATATGATGTTCTCATGTTATGGTTGTCCTTTTTCGGTAGTGTACTCTTTCATAAAGAGAGAGAGAGAGAGAGAACAGCTGGCCCAGTGAAGAGAAAATGATGTGACCAAGACCAAGGTGGTTGACTTTTAATCTGCGGCCCTCAGGTCTGTCTTCCATTGTTTTTGTTCAGACATTCCTCTAGGTCGTATAGCCTTGGTGTACAAGTTGCCGTCCTGTGGTCACTTGTGGTTGCTGTGAGGCTGAACACTGTGACACTGATATGTCAAATGCGTTAATGGTTGGCTACCCAATGTGGACAGAGAGTGGGATGGAGCTCCCCAATTAAAACAAGCTTGGAAGGAGGAGTGGCATCCACTTCCATAATAGCTTGCGTCTGGAAACCCTATGAACCTGGAGAGAGGATGAAAGGCACCCAAGCGTCGAGGACTCTCCTTCATAAGGTCGCTATGAGTCGCCTGCAACTTGAAGGCACTTAACAACAACAACTCTTTCATAGGTTTTGTGATCTCCTGTTATTTAAGATGTGGTTGACCAGTCCTATGTCCTAGTCTAGAAGCTCTGCTGAAACCTTCCCACCATGGGTGACCTTCCTGGCGTTTAACATACTGGTGGCATAGCTTCCAACAATGTAGTAACACACAGCCTTTACAAGAAGGCAAACATACAACAAATGAATCATCTAGCTGTCTTGAAATAAAGAGATCTGATTAATTTTCTTAACCTGAGGATTCAAAAATTAATTTGAGCATCAATCAATCTTATAATTTTTTAATAGCTATTAATTTCACAGGGATCTCAGCTGTACCTCTCTGGAAGTAAGAATCCAGAAAATCTCCACAGTAGAAAGATGAGAAATCTTGTCCTATGTTATTCAAAATCTTAGAAACCCAGCAGAAGGTCTGCTATGAGTTGTTTCTTATTTGATACTGAAGAGATTAACTTTACATTGAAATGTCAATTATTGTACCATAGAATGGTATTTGGAAAATGCAAAGGTGGAGTGTTATTGGTTATAGATTTTAATAAGGA